GTGGAGCTCGAAGTGCAAAAACAAAAACAAAAACGGAGAAGCACATGTCATGGCCAGGCAGTGTTCCCCTTGCCAGCTGTGCTGTGGCTGACCATTTGCCTGGTGGCTGGCACCTGGTCGGATAACGAGGGTCTCTTTGATCACAATAGCTTTGGGGTTTTTTCACAAGCTTTTTAAGGGTGTGTCTACACTGCAGGACTTAACTCGAAATAAGCTACGCAAATTGAGCTATATCAATTGTGCATCTTATTTCAAAGTAGCTTACTTCAAAATAGGGAGCATCTACACAGCACCTATATCCATATAACGCACTCTTCCTCCAGCTTCCCTTATTCCTCGTACAACGAGGGTTACAGGAGTCGGAGTAAGAAGTCCTCCAGCTTGACAGTATTTTGACACTATTTTGAAATAACGGCATGCTGTGTAGATGCGGACTAACTTATTTCGGAATAGCACTAGTTATTTTGAAATAGTGTTGCAGTGTAATCGTACCCTTATGCTATGTCTAGAATATAAAGATAAATTGGAAAAAGAAATGCAATTTGCGATACACAAATTGCATATCTTTTTCTGATTTACTTCCAAAAGAGGCTTTTCTGAAATTTGGCCCGTCTAATTTCCAAAAAAACCCTCTTTCAGAACATCCCTTCTTCCTCGTAAAACAAGGTTTACAGGGATGCCAACAAAACACGTCCACTTTTCTGACATTTTTTTTGGAAAAGCGGACATGTTCCTTAGACGTAGTATCCCGGAAAAGCTCTGCAGTCTAGGCGTACCCTTAGAGTTGATTCTGAGCAATTGGGCAGGAGTAAAATGAACGACTGCAAACAGTAAAAAATACCTGGCTTTGCCTCTCACTGACTGGAAACCAGGGTGGGTTTCCTAGTTTGCGTGGTGTGGCTGATACAATTAGCAGAGAAGCAACAAAAAACATCGAGCTGTCCCATTTCTTTTTTACTTGGTCCACAGTAGTTTCTCCATGTTGACCGTAGGCTGTCTGTCCTCTGTGCCGCTGCTGCATTGGAGTGTGTGCTGAGAGACTAATAATTTTATTAATTTTAATCTTTATAGTTTGTACTAAAATGACACAAAGAGGCCTTAATCAAGGTGAGGGCCCCACTGAGCTAGATACTCATATGCCCTGAGTGAGCAAGCCCCTGTCGGAGACAAGACAGGCAAAGGAAAGATTGTCACCCCCTAACTCTGGTATTAACGTGTTGTCCCATCTTTTCATGCAGAACTTCCAGGAGATGTTTGTTATCTAGAGTTGGTCAGATCATGCCAGTTGTTTTCACATGACATTTGGGGGTGGGGGGGATTTCAGTTTTTTAATGAAAAAAATTGATCCTGAAAACAAAAATCTATTTGTTTCTCAAGAGGGTTTTTTTCTTTTAAACACACAAATAAATCAGTTTCAGTAAAAATTATTAGTTTTCAAAGCCAAAATTTTGTTTTATTGAAGAATGACTTTTTTTTTACCAAAAAAACAATGCTTTTCAGTTGTTCAGGGGGAAAAATGTGGACCCAAAATGAAAATATTAATTTTGGTAAAGCCAAAATTCTCAATAAAAAATTTTTCACCTCCTGTAAAGGTATCTCTGCTTTCAGATCTTGCCTCCTGAGGTAGCCATGTAGGCCACAGAAATTCAGGCTGGATGGAGGGATGGAGGGTGAGGCAAATCCTAGGCTGATGGTTTGAGAGCTAAAGAAAGAGCGCAGTGTACTTGGGGGGAAAATAAGCAGTTGGCCAGACAGAGCAGTGTACTTAGTGATAGTAAAGCCTAGGGCACCTCACTTTTAAACCAACACACCAGTGAGCTGTTCAGAGCTGGAATTAAACAACAATGCTAGTATGCACCACAGGGCCTGGGCAGACCATTTCACAATGTCATAACAAGGAAGAAAATGAAATTTTCTGTGGTTGGCTGGCGCAATTGAAGCTAGTGCACAAGGCTGATCCAACACCCATTAAAGCCAATATACTGGCGCTTTGCCCACATTGCTCCCTCCTCTCCAAACTTGCCCCTTTCAAGACACAGAGCCTGCTTTCAGCTCCCTTGCGAGGGCAGCTCACCTGAAGTGTGTGCTACAGAGCCGTGGTGACGCGCCGGCTGGCGCAGGAGAACCTGAGCCAGTCTGGGAAGGTGTTTGCTGGGAGAGGATCCCCTTAGTAAACAGGCGAAGGAGGGAACAAAGTGATTTGGGAAGTGAGACTTCGTTCTGGGTTATTTAAATTAAAAATACATCGGCTGGCTGACACCAGGCAACGCTGCACCCCAATACCTCAGAGTTCTGAGCTGTGCCTCGAAGGCCATTGAGTGTATTGCCCTTGAGTCACATGCACAGCTGCTAACACCTGTGGCAGATCTCACCCTCTTTATTGCTAACTTACGCACTGTCGCCGAGATCCAGACTTTTAACTGAGAATCTGAAGTGAAATGGCCAAAGGTCTGTTCTCTAGAAGACCCTGGATCTGCACTTACAATGCCCGCCAATGTCACTTTGTGTGTTGCGTGTGAATTTAGCTAGGACCTCAATATCCCCTGGGGTTCCCCCACAAGCCGTCTGACTTCAGACCTCCCTCTGATGGGTTGTCCAGCCTGTAGAAGGCCTGCAGGGGTAAATTAGGCCCATTAACCTGAGGGTGCACTTTGAAGAACCTAGGGTGTGCTAGGGTGAGTTGCAGATGAAGTCCAGCTGTGTGGAGGAACTGGACAGGCTCTGTAAAGAGAGGAAGTTGGCTGGCTGGGAGAAGAAACCTGCAGTTGCATTCCCTGATGCAAGGGAGAAGAGCAGGAAGCTACAAGGACAGAGCAGGAAGGAGCAGTGAAGGCTGGGAGGGTAAAAGCCCAGAACTGCTGGATGGAAAGTCCTTGGATTGGAACCCAGCCCAGAGTAGGGGCCACGTTCCCTGACTAGCCATGGCAGTGAGGAACAGACTGCCCAGGATAGATTTTCTCAGAGGACTTGCGAGATCCCAACTTGCGTGACTGGGTCAGAGGGCTAAGCTATGAAGAGCGCAGCTGCTGCTGGCAGCAGAGGAACTGTGGAGAGCTATGGCCTGCGTAACCGCAGAAATGGGGGTCAGACCTACTGGCAGCGCTAATGCCCCAGATGAGGCAGCAGGAGGTGCCACCGAGCGGCGGGGGGGCCGGTCCCTGTCACACTTCCCGACGCAGGGCTTTGCACAAGCCGAGTCTAACCGAAAATAGCCAAAGAATGTCTGTATGCAGTCATGGAAATGTTAACAGGGGCACCGGCCACCGTTGCTGTGGTTACTATTGAAACCCCACTCCCCTTCCGTGACGCCTCCTGGCTTTCTGAAGCAGGCCCACTGGAGGTTGAAATATATTCCCTCTTGGTCTTAGCCTGAGCTGTGTGAACGTGCTATCATTTCAGAGGCGGGACTCCAGCAGCTGGGGTTCTAGGCATGGACCACTGAAGTTGAGGAACATAGTCCAGCCCTGATTTCAACCCACAAAAGAAACAGAGAGGCACAGAAAGCATCCAAGGGGACTGGGCGAATGGCAGGAATTTGTAACTTGTCAGAACCAGAGGTGTGGAACTTCAGGGCAAGTAATGCAAGAGCTCTTAGCCAGGTAGTCCGGAGAGAGTCTGATTCAGGTCAGAGGTGGGAAGCTGGGAAGCCCAGCAAGAACAATGTAACATAAAGCCGTGGCAATAAGGTCATTTCATCAGACTACATGACATTCGTATATGAGGAAGGAGAAAAGGACAGAGAGAAAAACAGATCTGGTAGCAAAGCCAGGACATACGGAGCTGGAGGAGAAAGTGGGAGTATCGCAGGGACATATGGCCCATTAGATGGATCAGCTCTTAGCCAGATTTGCAAAATTAAATAAGCAAAATTTTAGAGGACATACAGCAGACAACGTTACTAAATACATGCAAGGAAAGTGAAGCAGATGAGATCATGACAATAAGACTAGATAATTTGTGCACTGCATGGTCTAAAAATGATTATACTTGAAAGAACAAATTAACTGTGTTTTTATTTGACTATAGTTAATGAGTATAAACAAACAGAATGGGTAGTTCCCACTGCCCGGGCAAGCCACACGCTGCCCTCCATGTTAAAATATACTCCTAATATGCTAGCAGGACTGGAGCAATGTGGGTAGGATCGTCAGCCCTGTCCAGTCTCAAATCACAAGTCAGGCCACCAGAAGTCATGAGTGATCTAAAAACCACGAGATTGCTAACAGTGCAACGTATTCATTTGCTGTTAGCATTTGGATGGACATGGTAAGATTCACAGAACTGGAAGTACCTGGTAAGGTGTTGAATAGACTGGTATGAGACTATTATGGTTTGGAGACACTAGAAGAGATGGGTCCAATCAGCACACACTGAAGTCGCTGGAGAACTTTCCATTGATGTGCACAAACATTGTATTGGTGGGTTGACAAGAAACATTGGGTAGGCTCGTGGTATTATCCTGCCCACATTGCTAGAACACCTGGATGTCTCTGCTAGTAAGGTCAGCAGTGTTAACAATGTTGCCATTTTAATGGTCAACACTGAATCGTCTGAGTTATCCCTCTGAGGTGAACAGAGGAAGTTCACGCCTCCTCCAGCTCTTTCCTTATGTCAGCTATGTGCACGCTCTGCCAGAGAGCTGTAGCTTCTTAATGAAAGGTGAAATTCTGCAGAAGCTAATGGGGCGACCACAGGGACACTGATGTGGCAGATGCACTCAATCAGGTCCTGGGGACAGTGCAGCAAGTGTTTCCGCAAAAATATGTGTGATGGGACGCCTCCCCTCCCTGCCCCCTGCTTTATGAAATGGACTCATGGACACAAATATGCATAATTCACAGATGCTTGGAACAAAAAATTGTCTCGTGTAACCTATCAGTCTTAATGTCTTAATCCGCTGGGGCTGTATCTCTTATTTTGGTGCATGTATCCTTCTCGTGTGTGAAGTTAGATCTATGGAGGAGAGAATACTTTATGGTTTTAAATGTGCCAATGAAAGCCATCGGGTGTCGCCAATGCTGGGACGCCTCAGTGTCTGGGCAATCATACGTATGTCCTCTTTGGTCCTTTCAGTCTTAGCAGGGGTTGGTCTTAGGAAGTCACATGTCCATCCCAACTGGTAGGGGCGGACCAAGCGATTGTCCATGGAAAGGTGGTATCTATAAAACAATAGGGAGCTAGGAGTTTATTTGTCTTTGGCTGGCCTGGCGCTCCCAGCAGAATGAACCAAAGGCCTCAGAGAGAGGGAACTTCCCTGGTTTGGAGGCTTAGCTGGAACAAGGACAGTTTTAGGGTGAGTTTGTAGTAACTTTGTACTGAGGTTCTAGTGTCAGAATTAAGAAAGCACTTTCTGTTATTTGAAACTTGCGACCTACTTTGCTCTGCCTGTTCTCACTTTTATAACCACTTAACTCCTACTGCTAACACTTAATAAAATCACTTTTATTTACTACTGAGCCCAGGGTAAATGACTGTTACCTGGGGGAGCAATCAGTGTGCACATCCTCCTCTCATTGCTGAAGGGGGCTCATCTAAATAATCCATGTGGGGTTCTGGTCCCATTTGGGGAGTGGTATCCCAGGAAGCGGGGCCTAAAACTGTGTTTTCCTTGGACCTGAGGAGTTTCAGTGTCTGTACCGCTGCTCCGGGAGGGGCAGGGATCTCAGCTCGGGGCCTTGGCTGGGGGAGACCATGGAGCTGGCCCAGCAGGACAGGGTAGTGAGAAACCCCAGAGAGCAGGCAGGCGAGTGTCAGTGGGTCTTCTGTGACTGCACCCCGTCACAATATGCACCCATTGTTCCTACAAAAACAGTGTTTCTGCATGCAGTTTAGGTAATTATGTGCACAGCTGGGCAGTTAGATGCACACTTACCCATTTTGCACATGCCAACATCCATTTGTTCATGTTTGTGCACATGCTGCAGTGGCTACACAGCTGCTTCTGTGGATACTCCTGCTTTACCCTTCTTTAAAAACCTGACTTTTG